TTGGGATCTCCGTGCTGCGTCCCCCCGGAGCCAGGGGACGAGCGCTCGGCTCTCATAGAGTTGAATTCATTTGGAGGCTGCAGCCCTGTTAGTTTTTAATGGGAGCCATTGGCAGGTTGATCGCTGAGCAGCTCCTCCTGCATCCACCCCCTGCTCTCAGCATCGCTCCCCTTCCCACCTCTGCTAATTACACATCCTGCCTAATTGCTGCCCTTTTGCCCCTCTGGCTCCGGGAGGCAGAGCAGGAGCAGAACCCAGAGCTTTGCTTTCCAGGGTGGGAGGGGGGGTGAGGATGGAGAAGGACAGAGAGGATGGGGAGGGGGAGGATGCAGGTGACCCCCATGAAATGCCCTTTCCTGGAGGGAATGCGGCAATGGGACCACATGAGGGCAGAGCAATTGGGGCTTCATGTTGTGGTTCAAGGCAGAAAACCATGGCCAAGCCCTCGGGTGTTCCTTGTGCAGGGTTGCCTGGAGATAGGGGTGAGAAGAGTTTTCCTTTGGGGCCATAGGAGGCAGGGCTCAAGCAAGGCACCAGGTAGCTTACATCTGCAGCTTCACCATCAGCAGCTTGATAAGGATTTACTGCCCAGATTCCTTCTTTCATTTGTTGCAAGAGATTTTAGTGCTTTCGATGTGTAAAACTCAGGTTTGTCCCATCTTGTCTGGAGGAGGAGGGAGGGGATGGAGGCAGGGATGCAGTGGCTGTCTTTCGTGTGGCTGTTAACCGGTTAGGTGCCATGTGCTGCTGTTCGGGTTGTCCATGCTGAGTCCTTGCTCAGGGCTGTGTTGGTACCAGTGCTGATTCCCAGGACGTACCCCAGTGTCCTGCTCACTGTCCCCTTCCAGAGTGGGACAAACGCCCTGGGGAGCGTGGGGTCTCCTGCAGCATCATGGCCTGAAAATTAAAGCCATAAATTGCCGGTGCAGGTGCTCACCCTCATCCAGGGAAGAGGGGGCTCAGGCAGGGATGCTGCTGCCAGCACAGGCCTGGGGATAGCAGGGGCTGTGGGAGCAGCATGAAGCATCCTTCCTGTCCTTCCTGGTCCTAAGCATCCTTCCTGTTGCCAAGCATCCTCCTTGGTACCAAGCATCCCTCCTGGTACCAAGCATCCCTCCTGGTACCAAGCATCCTTCTCATTATCAAGCATCCTTCCTGGTGCCAAGCATCCCTCCTGGTACCAAGCATCCTTCTCATTATCAAGCATCCTTCCTGGTGCCAAGCATCCTCCTTGGTACCAAACATCCCTCCTGGTACCAAGCATCCTTCTCATTATCAAGCATCCTTCTTGGTGCCAAGCATCCCTCCTGGTACCAAGCATCCTTCTCATTATCAAGCATCCTTCCTGGTGCTGAGCATCTTTCCTGGCGCCGTTTTGATCCCCAACTGCTTTCACGGAGCAGACGCCGATTCCCAGAGCCCCGATGCAGCTCCTGTGAGCTCCTCGGGTGCCGAATTGTTCGCCTGACTGACAGCTGAGCAGCACAGACAGGTCTATTATTGCTATGGGGCCCGGGCCCCGCGGGCCTGCAATTTAGGTCTGCGCTATTAACCTTGCCTTGTTCTCCACTTTGTAACCGCTTTAGTGCCTTTAAAAGTGTACGGTTAAAATCGGGGTTAATTAGGGGCCCGGCAGCTGGGCTTAACTGGCGCCCATTGTGTCCCAGCGGAGCCAGGCTGGGGTAATTGGGGACTGTTGTGGGTTTGTGCTGGTGGACTCCTGCGAGCACAAGCCCTGTATGGTTGGTCTCTGGTTGGCTTTGGTCTCTTCCGCCCTAAGGACGGCTTTGGTTTGCTCCCTTCCCCTCCTTTCTCCCCATCTTTCCTTCTTTCCTAGCGCTTGAGGGCTGTGGCTGCAGCTGGACATGGTGTAGGAGTGTCTGGGGATGCAGAGGATGCAGGGGTAACAGGGGATGGAGAGATATCAGAGATACTGGGGAAACGGGATGGAGAGATATCAGAGATGCTGGGGAAACGGGATGGAGAGATATCAGAGATGCTGGGGAAACGGGATATGGGAGATGCTGAGGAAAAAAGGGGGTACAGGAGATGATGGTGATGCGAGGGATATGGGTGATAGGAGGGATAGGAGGGATGCAGGGGTACGGGGGATGCAGGGGTGTGGGGGATGCAGGGGATACATGGGACACAGGCAGTGCATGCACATGCCAGGAGAGGCTTTCGGGGGGGGGGGGTGGTGTTTCTCAAGGCACCCCCATCGCTGTTGGACATTTTGCTGCTGGGGGCACGGCGGGGCCAGAACTCCCTGACCCATAAAGAGGGATTTATTCCGGCTCGCGGCACCGGTGGGGTCTGGGATTTACATCTGTGTCTGGAGCCGGGTTTGGTGGCCAATTTGCTGAAGTAAAAAGTTGTTTAGCTGGAGGCGTAATCTTATAAGCCTGTGCTGCCATTATAATGGCTTCTCGTTTCTGCCTGGCTTTCCAATAACGCTGGGAGCAGGAGCTCGGAGTAATATAAAAAGCCATCGGATTATTACTGCGGGCAATGCATTTTCCATTTACAGTAATAAAATACTGAGGAAACAAAACAATTTAAAATTCCAATAAAATTCAACCCAAATCTTTGGCTGCTGAGCAGATTCAATTATTTAGCTGTTATTGAGTGCAGGCTGGGAAAATAGAGCAGGTCAGGGAGGGAGGGAATGCTCGGAGCGGGGAGCGTGCTGGCCGCATCCCGTGGGAACACTGCTGAGGGAGGGAGCCAGGGAAGCATCACTGTGGATGGAGGCCTGTCCCTGTGCCCAGTGCTTGGATTTAGGGAGGAGATCCCGGTGTGATGGCTCCGATGGTCCAAGTGGAAGAGGCGCCTGGTGAGTGCCGGCGGTGGCTGGTTGGTTGGCTGGGGAGAGTTTGCCTCTCACAGTAATTGCATCCCATTGGGAAGCAGTGACTGCATCCCATTGGAAAGCAGGAATTGCATCCCATTGGAAAGCAGGAATTACTGCGGAGATGGGGAGCACCGGAGCCCATGGCACACCGCTCCCTGTTCGGTGCATCACCCTCCATGTGACAGCACACCGGGCTGGAGGCATCTCACAGCCAGCCCAGCTGGTGCAGAGAGGTGACCAAGGCTCTCCCATCGGCCGGATCGCTGTTGGATGCGGCATTCCCTGGGCACACACCAGCACTGAGGATCACGAGTGGGATACCCTTGGCTAGGCTTGGCTCACTGGTGTGGGCAGCTCTGCTGTGCCACTATATGCTGCATGGGGCTGTCCCAAAAGCATCGCTGCTGTCCCAGTGCTTGGGGATGGCTTTTTGGCCACGGTGGCCTTGGGCGATGCTGCCTCCCTCCTCTCTCCATCAGTGTCCCCTTTTCTTTTGATATTTTCCCTTGGAAAGGAGCGTTTCCATGGAATGGGCTCATTAGGGATTCTGCAAGTGTCACCAGCTAATTAGTGTCGTGTTAATTGAGTATTCACGATGCTGCCACCTCCAAGGACAGCGGTGCCGGCGTGAAGGGGAATGCAGATGTGCGTGGCTCCGTGCAGCTCTGCAAGGCCACCCGGGCTCCGGAGCTTCCCGGAGGTTGGATGGTCCATGGTTGGATGGTGCAGGCCGGGATGCCGTGTGCCTGCACGTGCCATGCCATAGGGAGCTGCGGTGCCTCCTGTCTCTCCCGGCAGCTCCATTAAATCCTGCTCAGAGTCCCTGGTTTTAATTGGCTTAATACACTCGTTAATAGCAATGTCTATTTAAGACACCTGTAAAAAGCCCATAACGTTTGCTTAATGGGGGGAATGGCTGGTGAGCGCTGCGCCGTGCTGCCTCTGCAATTACTGCTGCACTGCTCGGGAGGAGAGGATGGAGAGAGGCCCCGCTCCTGCATCCCCACGCAGCGCGCTGAGTCCCGGTCCTAACGCTGTTCCCGTGTGTGCGGGCAGCATCCCTCGGAGTAGGATTGAGGCAGGCCAGTGTAACGGCTTGGTTAGGTGTGCTGGATGCACCTGATGGCGCAGCTATTCCACGGTGACTTTGCCACCATGGAAGCACATGGTGGCACCAGGAATTGCTGGTGCCGGTGGCATCCGGAGCCAAGTGCTCCCTTGCAGGGACACCGAGTGCCTGCGGTCCCTTTCCCCGGGTACTGTGGGGATGTGCTGCTTGAGAGCATCCGAGATTGACCCGCAGCAGGGGAAGGGCTCCTCATTAAGGGGGTCGCAGCCCCAAACCCCCCACTTTTGAGCACCTCTCCCTTGTAAATCCTGTCTCTGGGGCACACATTGGGTCTGGCGTTCCCGGGATGCTGCAGGCATCCCTTAGGAGTTCTGGGGAGCAGACATCATCCCCTGCGTGCTGGCATGTGTGTGCATGTGCCTCTGTATATGCATGTGTGTGCGTGGAGGTTTTAAACACCTAATTTATTCCATCTATTAGATAGATTTTGTAGATTTAATCATTTTCACAGTTGGTGGCTCATTGGATACTCAAGATAAACTCCAAATGAAAGTATAATGGGTACGACAAATGAGTTTTCACACCAGAATGGCAGAAACTTGCTTGGGAAAGAGTTTGAAAGGAACAAAACTAGATACATATATCCATTTTTTTCCCCGGCAGTGGCTTTTGCTGACTCCAGTAGGTTACCACAGTTAATTTCACCAGTTTTGTTCATCTGTAAAATTGCATAAAAGTGACATTTTTGTGCTCATTATAGGAACTGCTGATTTATGGCTGGTAAATGCAACGCTCTTCCATTTTTGGTGAGGTTCTCGTAGCAGCGCAAAGCACCCATGAAATTGCTTGTATAATGTAGTTTAAATCCAATCTCGGAGAAAGATTCCCCCGTTGGGTAAAGTGACATTTCCATTCTCCACACCGAGTTTATTTTAGGCCACTTACAAGTGGCTCCGTCAGCGGGAGGGGGCAGGTTGGTGCCGTGACCTGGTTTCTGCCGGCAGCGGGTGATGGGTGGTGGCGGTGCCGGGTCCCCGCTTCCCCAAGGCACCGGGTTCACCCTGTGCTTCGCTCCCGCAGGCGAGACGGCGGCACCGATGCATTCCCCGCGCTACCCCAGCCCCGCCGAGCTGGATGCCTACGCACAGAAGGTGGCCAACAGCCCGCTGACCATCAAGATCTTCCCCACCAACATCAGGGTCCCCCAGCACAAGCACCTTAACCGGACGGTCAATGGCTACGACACCACGGGGCAGCGGTACAGCCCCTACCCCCTGCACGCCGGCGGCTACCAGGGTCTCCTGGCCATCGTCAAAGCCTCCGGCAAAAGCGTGGTGAAGAACTCGGAGGGGAAGCGGACTAAGCTCTCGCCCGCCCAGGTCGGCGTCGCTCCCTACCCCGCGTCAAGCACTTTAGCTCAAGGTCCCTCCTGCGCCGGGCAGCTGAGCTACCACGGTGGCCAGAAGCAGCTGGAGGGTCCCGTGCCCCCCAACGTGACGGTGGCAGCCTCCGTGCTGCCGCTGGCGGGCAGGAGCCTGGCGCTGCCGCCGTCCAACCTGCCCTCCATCCAGAGCATCATCTACCAGATCAATCAGCAGTGCCAGGCGCAGGGCGCGCAGCCGGGCTGCCCGGCCGTGGTGGCCGCCAACCCCAGCCCGGCCAAGCACGGCGCCTTCACCGGTGCCTACGCCGGCGCCGTGCTGCCCGAGTGCCGCAAGGGCGCCGAGCTGGCGCTGGGCTCCAACCCGACCGCGGCCCTGGCACCCAAGGCGGGGGTGTACCCCGAGGGCATGGACTACCTGGTGTGGCAGCAGAAGCAGCAGCAGCAGCAGCACCTGCGCGTGTACAGCGGGGGCAGCGGGGGGGCCCTCAGCAAGTCCCCCGAGACGTGCGCGGCTGCGTCGCGGCCCTACGCGCTGGGCGGCGCGGCCGAGAAAGTGAGCTCGTCCCCATTGAACTGCATGCACGGCAACTTCTCGGTGGGGCAATACTTCGCCCCTCCTTGGAACAGCATCTTGGTGACCCCCAACAGCGACTGTTACAACCCGCCGGAGCTGGGCGCCGGGCCCCGCGAGCTGGGGGTGCCCCCGGGCGAGGGGCTGCCCAGTAAGACCCTCTGCAATACCTCCATCCTCAGCAGCAGCCTCCAGTCCCTGGAGTATCTCATCAACGACATCCACCCGCCCTGCATCAAGGAGCAGATGCTGGGCAAGGGCTACGAGACCGTGTCTGTGCCAAGGCTCTTGGACCACCAGCACGCCCACATCCGCCTGCCCGTCTACAGATAAGGAACCGATGCTGCTTTTCCCAAAGCCAGGGCGAGGATCCCGGCGCGAGCCGCGCTCCCCTCCGGCACCGCGCGGGGCCCGGACCGCGGCAGCCATGGTGGCAGGGGGACGGGGATGGGGACACACGGGGTCGGCTGCCGAAAGGGCTCCCGGGACACTGGCATTTCCCCGGGGTCCCCAGACTGGATTCACCCGCATCCCGCCGGGAGGACCAAGGACCGCTTGTCTATCTCTATAGCTCAGAAATCAGTTTTATCTCCACGAATGTGAACAGGGAATCGCTACGAGTTGCTGCTATCCAGGGAGAGGAGGCTCCGACCCTGCGGGCGCCCGGCTGGGTCCGTGCGGGGCAGAGCCCCCGTGCCGGGCTCACCGCAGCCGGTCCCAGCCCGGTGCCCGCAGGGAGCCGGCGCCTGACCTGTAGCTGAAGTCCGTAACTTGCACTGCTTTGATTAAAGCTAATAACTGGGGACAGTCTGGAGGCTGTTTAAGAGAAAACCACTTGAAACTTGAACAGATTGTTTTGTTCTCCGAGTTCTGTTATTTTTTTGTAGTGACTAGGCTGTACATCTACGTGTTGGCTGCTACAGAGTCTCCTCACACCCCTCTTCCTCCTCCTCCTCCTCCTCGCCCGGCCCCGCGTTGGCCACTGGCTCCTATTCCCGTTCAACCAGGGGGTTCAGTACCCCCTCCCCAGCCCCTTTCCCACCCCAGGTCTCACACTTCCAGGCTGTTCCATTTCCCCCTTTACTGTCAGTTCTACCTTGGTGCTGGGTTAGAGGTGACCGCGGTACCGGGGGCACTCGCATACCTCCTCCTTTTCTCTTTTCAGTTCCGAACCGCTCATTAGGGTCCGTTCTTCATTACGTGTAATGACATCTTTAATAGTTACTCATTCAAAAACAGCTCCACACCACAGAGTACAAAGTGTTTTCGATGTCTAATGGATAAAGAAGGAAAACTACCCCGATGAAGCCCAAGGTGATTGTGCTCGGAAGAGAGGTACTGTATCCCTGAAAGGCCTGTTCAAGCACTAAGTGCATTTACAAATCTCTGAGAATGTTTTTTCTTTTATACTAAAATTGACCATTATATTCTACTGTGAGAAGTGCTGCTGCACTTATATTGTTTTAAATACAAATGAAGAAAAGATAAAAAAAAAAAAAAAAGAAAAGAAAGAAACACAAAACCCACAAGCCGTGTGTCCGGATGGTGTTTTTCCCAAAGTAAAGCCAGGATATCGCTGGATGTGTGTGCTCTGGAGTCTCTTTGCTTTGCTGTGGCCTTCCCCAGGACCCCCCTCTTTAACCCACAGATTTTTAGGGCACCTATAAATAACCCACTAACGATGCTGAGCCATTAATCCGGCCCCAGCGCCAACCTCCGCCTCGCACCCAAAGGGCGGCCACGCACGTGGGACAAATCCCCAGGGATTAGGGCCTCGGCCCCACGTGCACCCATGGGATGCTCACCCCTCGCAGCACCAAGGCCCAGGTGATGGGCACCGAGGCTGCAGTATCGCATCCTCATCCCGGTACCCGCAGCCACCACCGGTGCAGTGATGGCATCTCCCCTCCCGTCCATCCACTGCCATTTCCTGGTGCCTGGGCATGGTGGGGGTCTCCGGATGGGATCTGCTCTCCCCTAACCCATCCCACCCCCCTGCCCTGCTCCGTTCTGCCCCACCAGCAGCTTCCCAGCCCCAACAATGAGCCGGTTGCATTAGGATAATAGTATTAAATCCCAAATAGCTCTGGGCGGAGGACGCAGCTCCGTGTCCGGCAGCGGTGACATATGGCACTGCCGTTATCCCAGTGGGAAGAGGGCTGAGGGCAGCTGCCTGCTCGTACCCTGCCTGCAGCTGCCTGCGACCCCAGCACAGGATCCCTTCATTTCCCAATTATCCTGAAGAATTAGGATCGTTTTTAAACCAGTTCCTGCCCACACTTGCCCATGGCCACCACTTGCTGTGGACTGGTCCCAGTGGAACCCCACACAAGGGATGCAGGCAGTGCTGCCTGCTCCTGCCCTCTGCATGGGGACACCCAAACCCCAGCATGGCCGTGGTCCGGGAGCCTCTAACAGGATGCGGAGGCTGGTTTGCTGGGAACAAAACTCCAGATATTCTTCTTTTTGGCTCCTGTGCTGCTCCCTCCAGGCCTGCCGAGCACAGGGATGGGGATGAGCACACGGCATCCCCTGGAGCTGCCCCACGGCCTCGGAATGCGGCTCCATTTGTCTTCCTTGCCATAAGCACGGTTGTGCCGATATCGATGGGCTGCCGGGAGGGGACGGCTCCGTCAGCAGTCACCAGCAGCGAGCGGCGTGACAGCGACCCGGGAACAAAGAGAAACGGGGACAAAAGGGGAATTTCACAGAGGCTGATGTTGCTGGGGGGTGGGAGACGCTCCCTGCCTGCACGGGCACGTTAGACTGGCTGAGGACACTTAGAGCTTTGTCGTTAAAGAGATGCCACATGAAAAGGAGCAGTGGTGCTGGGCACGGGGTGGTGGTGCCAGCCCCAGTCCCTCCATGGGGCTGCCCCCTGCGTTGAGGGGTACCAAAGGGGGGAACCAAACAGAGGTGCAAGGAGCCAGGAGAAACTTTGCTCTGCTACCGGTGCCCCTCGGAGCAGGGATTCGTTAGCACTGCCTCCATCGTGCTGCCCGCATCACCATAAATCAGGGCTGGAGGATGGTGAGATCCATCCTGCAGGTCCATGGGGGGGCACGGGGGGTTGCTATTTAGCAGTAAACCCTCTTGGAGGAGGAACGCTGCACGTGTGTAATGCACAATGAATGGGTGCCTTCTTGGACTGCTTCCACCCAGGGCTGCCACAGGTGAGTCCGTGGGGACCCGAAATGGATGGAGATGGGGTAGGGATGCATGAGGATGCATTCTGGCACCCAGGGCAAAGCCACCACCACCTGTAGCCCCCGGATGCCATTTCTGAGGGCACACGATGCCCTTTGCAACGATTTCTGATTGACATGATGCCGTTTCTGGCCTGCAAACACCTTCCTAGTAAATAACAGCGATTCCCAAGGCAGGTGGGGAGCAGGCGGGTGTCGAACGGAGCGCGAGGAGCAGAGCCAGGCGGTGTGACCTGCGCGGCCGCAGGGGGACTTGAGCCAGCGCATCCCTCACTGTGATTGACTCCAGCTTCACAACCCGAGCTTCGGGTTCATCTAGAAATGAATTTGTTGCCGCACTCCACGCTCTGCTCTTCCCTGCGCTGGGCTTGTCAGGGCTGGTGGAGAGGGCTGGGAGGGGGCTGTGCCCCAGCATCACCAGGACCCTCAGTCCCAGGGGGGGCCCTCACCTCCTAAATCACAGAATCCTATAATGGTTTGGGTTGGGAGGGACCTTAAAGCTCCTCCAGCTCCAGCCCCTGCCACGGGCAGGGACCCCTTCCACTGGAGCAGCTTGCTCCAAGCCCCTGTGTCCAACCTGGCCTTGAGCACTGCCAGGGATGGGGCAGCCACAGCTTCTCTGGGCACCCTGTGCCAGCGCCTCAGCACCCTCACAGGGAAGAGCTTCTGCCTCAGAGCTCATCTCAGTCTCCCCTCTGGCAGGTTAAAGCCATTCCCCTTGTTCTGTCCCTACATCCCTTGTCCCAAGCCCCTCTCCAGGTTTCCTGCAGCCCCTTCAGGCACTGGAGCTGCTCTCAGGTCTCCCCTTCAGGAGCCTTCTCTTCTCCAGGCTGCCCCAGCCCAGCTCTCTCAGCCTGGCTCCAGAGCAGAGCTGCTCCAGTCCTCTCCCATGAAGCAGGTGTGATATGAAGACACAGCTGTGATAACGCAGGGCTTTGCAGGGGATAGAAGCACCAAACACAAGCCCTGCAGCACCAAAGGTTGCTGCAGTGCCCCCATCCCCACTGAGGGGTCCAGACTGGTGGCACAGGGCACTGGGCAAGCCACATCCATTCTTTCTGCATCCCAATGGCTTTAAACCCTCTCACATGCAGCTCCTTGTCATTGGGATGCTGGAATTTGCACAGCAGGGGGGAAATCGGTTCATTTCCAATTACATTGGGAAAATCCCGTCTCCAGGACCATAGAGTGGGGCAGAGCCCCACTGGGGCTCCCTGTGTCACCCCACACTGCCGGTCCAGGGCTGGTCATCACAAACCCACTGGGGATGGGTAAAAGCAAGTTTATCATCTCCAAACACGAGCTGGGCTGAAGGCGGAGCCGCTCAGCTCCTCATTCGATTACACAGCGAGAGCTGGAACCTCAGCCTCTCCTAAGTAGTGATAATGAAACTTCCTCCTTCCCTCCCCCTGGGGAAGTACTTAAACTACAATATGAGACATAGATGTAAATCACATTTAAACGGAGACAGCGCAGTTAGAGCTAACGGCGAGTAATCAAGCCTGCAGATGAAGTGTCCCCTTTTCTGCTGTATCATTTGCTCAGTGAGCTGGGCGGCCCCCAGGGCCCCGGCCAAGCTCTCTGCCACCATGCACTGTGCCACTGTGACCCTGCTGGCCCCCCAAAACCCGTCCCTCAGACCCACCCCATGTCCCAGTGCAAAAGGAAACTGTGGGGTGGCAGCTGGCTGTGAAGGGAGGCGAGCAGAAAGGGAGCGCTGCAGTTAGAGGTGCGATGGGATGGGGATCGAATGAGATGAGATGGGGTAGGGTGGGATGGGATGTGGCGCGTCCCACCCAGGTCTCACTGCCCATCGGGAGCATCCCCCAGACCCCATCCTCACCGCTGCCCATCAGCAGGAGCATCACCCTGCAGACCCGCACCCCATGGGCTGCTCCCCACCCGAGGACGGGGCGAGGAGGTAGGAGGAGACCGCGGGGCGCCCAGCTCACCCTCGGTTTGCCCCTGCTCCTGCGCCCCCATAGCGCGGAGCTGCCCGGCGGGGTGGGCATTGCGCGGTGTGTGCTGCCCTCCAGTGGCCCGAGCCCGGCGGTGCAACGCAGCCCTGCCCCATAGCCCCGCGCCGTTCCCGTGCCCCACAGCCATTGCACACACGCCTCCAGCTGAACGCGGTGCTGGCAAGCGGGGATGGCAACACCGGGTGCTGCAGCCAGCCATGACCCCCCCGGTGCTCGGTGCAGCCCCGCCTGCGGTGCCATCGCGGTGCCCGGCCAGGCGGGCAGGGAGGCTCCGGCCCTGGGGGCAGAGGAGCGGGAGCTCCTGTGTTGGGTGGCTCCATGGCACACGATGGGGAGCAGCAGCCTCCCGCCTGCAGCGGGTCCCTCGGTGCCGGCAGGAGCAGCGGGGGCAGCTCAGTCTTTATTCCTAATAAATAACGTATAAACCTTGTGCAAAAACCTGTGGCAAACCCCATCGGGGGTCGGAGGGGGCCCTGCCCGCGGCAGCGCCTCCCAGCATGGCACAGCCAACGGCGCCGCGGTGGCAAAGCGCAGCAGTGGCACTGAGCCGGAGACCCCCCCAGCACCGCCGGGACAGGGCCAGGACCCCCCGCCCCAGTCCGGGCTGGGCACCAGCACGAATCCCTGAGGAGCAGACAAGCACCATCCAGCCCGGTCCGTGGTGCTAGAGCGGGGAGCCCGAGGCCTGGCCGTGCCGCCGCTCCCGTGCCTCCGCTGTGCCCATTGTCCCCAGCGGCACCACCACCTCCTCGGGCTGGCAGCTCTTGTTGAGCTCCACCACGCGCGGCACCACCGTGGACCAGCGATCTGGGAAGGAGATGTGGGGATGTGGGGGGCAGAGCCGGGAGCCTGGGAATGCTCCCCACGCCGTGGGCAGCCCCACAGCACCCGGTCCCCAAAGCAAATGGGGGTCTGGGGCTCATAAGAGGCTGGAAGCAGCATCCCGAGGGATGCTCCCAGCCCGCGCTCACCTCTCCGCAGCCGGCCCACGGTGTGGGAGAAGCCGTAGTACTGGTACGTGTCGCTCTTGCCTGGATCCTCGCTGATGATGCCCAGGTTCTGGTTCCAGTGGGACCAGTTCACCTCATCCACCCTGTGGGAAGGTCAGAGCCAGAGGGGCTGCAAATCCTGCATCCCTGCGCCATCCCACCACCAGCCTGGGTCCAGGTTAGCACCAACTACCCAGCAAACAGAGACGCATCCCCAGCGCCCCCAAAATGCCATCGGCTGCAGCGCCAGAAGCTTGGTTGCTCCTGGTCCCCAGCTCCTGCCTTTACCTGAAGCACCAGCGGCGGTCGGGTGTCCCATCTGTGCACTTCCCCACCGTGACCATCTCTCCCGAGCGGAAGGCTTTCCGCAGGAACACCGGGAAGGAGCGCTCGATGTCCAGGATGGTGGTAGCCCACTGCCGGGAGCACCAGGGACCCCTCAGCCACAGGAGGATGGATGCATCGGGGTCCCTCGCCCAGGCAGTGCTGCTCTGATGGAGCCTGGGGAGCTGCAGTGGCGCGGCCGCCCTTGCCCAGCAGCTCTGAGGTGGTACCTGCAGCTTCCAGATGTGCTTGCTCTCCTTGGAGACTTGGCCCACGGTCTCACCCATGAGGGCGATGAGCATGTTGAGAAGGAGCACGAAGGTGAGGATGATGTAGGTGACGAGGAGGATGATGAAGACGCCGGGGTACTTGGCGCTCTCGAGCATCTCCAGGTCGCCCATGCCGATGGTGAGCTTGAAGAGGTCGAGCAGGAAGGTGCTGAAGGTCTGGCTGTCGCGGCACGAGGGGTAGGTGGGCACCGTGCAGTTGGACTGGTCCTCGCTGCAGGACTCGCTGCTGGGGCATGGGTTGAGGAGGGACACCAGGGCTGGGGGGAAGCGATAGGGATGGTGAGGCCATGGGGACAGCAGCAAGGACGGGGTCCACAATGGGACCCCTCACTGGCTGAGCCTCTCTCCATCACAGGAGGAGGCACAGGCTGAGCCCTGCAGGCAGGTAGAATGGAGCAGGGGCTCCACAGACCCCTGCCTGGTCAAGCTGTGCTGTGCCAAAGGGCTCGTCCTTACCCCGAGCCCCAGCTCACCACGCAGGCACCCACCTGATGCGTATCCGATCATGAAGAGCAGGTAGACCAGGAGGAAGCGGAAAAGGTCTTTGAAGAGGATCTGCAAGTGATGGAGAGAGGAGTGAGATGCGTGGCACCATTGACAGCCCATGCAGCATGGATGGCCAGGCTGAGAGCCACAAGAAACCCCCAAGAAAGCATGGAGGAGCCTCCCTTTGATCTATAGGGAGAAGACCCCTGACCCCACCAGACCTTCTGGATCATGATGCTGTAGGTCCCCGTCAGCTTGAGCCCCCGGGTGAAGTACAGCGCATTCATCCAGCCCAGCACCAGCGCGAAGACCATGACAGCCAGGTACGCCTCGATGCCCCCCAGGTACAGCCCCGCTGTGACGATCACCAGCACCGAGTAGATGAAGCTGGAGGAGAAGCAGGATCAGACCCTGCACCGACAGCTACTGCCCTGTGCAAGCCCAGGGGTACCCCACGTACTAGAGCAGCTGGAAGGAGCCGTCTATGAAGAAGGAGTTCACGCCTGGGCACTTCTTCATGAAGAGATCTTTGACCTGGGGAGAGAGGCAGAGGTCGGAGGGGCCGGGGGGAGCAAACCCCTGCTTGGCAGGGCCCTGGTGTCCAGGGGGCATCACAGTGGGGGCTGACGCCTTGGGACACGGGGCTGTCGCCCTCAGGTTGCTCCTTGCATGGAGACCACGAGGGCTCGGCCATCACGGCACTGACGTTAGTGAAGAAGAAGAGGATGCCGGTGAGAAGGGTGATGATCTCCCCCGCCAGGCGCAGGTAGTCCACGGTGGTGGTGTAGGGGTAGGGGGGCTGTGGGGAGAGCACAGAGCAGAGCTGCTTCGTCATAACAGCGCAGGATGCTGGGGACAGAGACCCAGCAAACCCCCCCTGCCAGGAGGAGCCAGCCCATGGGGCTGAGCCCCGGCGCTGTGGCACTCACGGGCCCTTCCATGGGGCGGTAGTAGGCGACGAGGGTGAAGATGACCATGGCGCAGAGGTAGGAGACCACGCTGATGTAGAAGGAGACGGCCCCGAACTTGCGCCACTTGTCCCGCAGCAGCTCGTTGATGGGCTCCACGGCCAGCATCTCGTGGCGGTTCTGGTGGCACGGGGATGCTGTCAGTGAGGACACGGCCCCACGGTCCCCCCCTTTCTCCCCCCGGCCCCTGCACACCTCAATCTTGCTGTTGTAGACGAGGATCTCCAGCACAGACACCTCCTCCCCGCACGTGTCCAGCGAGGAGAGGTCGTAGAGGGAGGAGTAGACGGGGCCGTAGGCCCAGTCCTTGAACTTCCGTGAGAGATGCCGCGCATCCTCGTCCGTGATCTCCCGACGGATGATGTGCTGGAAGATCTGATGGAGGGAGCACCGGGAGCACCGCTCACCATGGGCAGACCTGTGCCTCGTCCCGGCTGCTCAGGGCACCCCGCTTGTCCTCCCATCCCACGCCAGGCACATCCCCTGCCACTATTGAGCATCCCAAGCCACCCCAGTGGGTCCAGGGTGCTGCTGGGATGGCCCTGGGTGCAGAGCCACCATCACAGCAGGCAGCCCATGAGGATGCTCCGATTTTGGCATTTTTAGTAAACCCTCTGCCCACACCACGGGAGCGCAAGGACAAGACAGGGGGAAGGACAGGATGTGCCAAGGGCCTGGGTTAATTAGCAAAGGGATGGAATGGAATAAGGGGTTAATTAGGGTTAATAGGCCGCACATCCAGGTTTCCAACAGCACCCGCAGAGAGAAGCCGCGCTGCTCGCTTCCGGCAGGGGCACGCACTGAGTGCGACAGGGCTCAGCTCGGAGGGAGGCTGTCACCGTACCCCGATCTTGCCGGTCTTCGCCGCCATCATGAGCGGGGAGAGGCCGTCGTTGTTGAGCAGCGTCTCCAGGTTGGTGTCGGGGAAGAGCTTGGCGCACTTGACGAGGAGCAGGTCGTACATCTTGGTGACGAACTTGGTGTTGTCGCGCGTGTTGTCGGCGATGGCCACCAGCGCGTGCAGCACCGTGTTGCCGCGGGAGTCCTGGCGCCGCAGGTCCGCCTGCTTGTGCCCGTTCTCCGTCAGGTAGTGCACGATGTGGGGCTGGTTGGTGCAGGCGGCCAGCGACAGCGGCAGCTCTCCTGTGGGGATACCGCTGTTGGTGTCACCAACCACACACACGCACACCCACACCACCCCTGGGGATGCACCAGCTCCTTCCCCGCTCACCAAAGTAGAAGTAGCCGCCCTCGTCCTTGGGCTGGAAGAAGCGGCCGCGGGCTTGGGCATGCACGTCGGCTCCCTTCTCCACCAGCAGCTCCACGTAGTGCTTGCAGCGGCGCTCGATGGCGATGTGCAGGGCTGTCTGACCTGTACCATGGGCACCCATCGCCACCGTCTTGCCCCGTGAATCCCCCCGGGATACCCAGCCTTCCGGGGGTACCTGTTGCTCCAGCCCCCTAGAGCCTTCCATCACCTCAGGGTCCTCACTGCTCTGGTTGCTAATCAATCCAGGGCTCTCCATCCTCATCAGGGTACCCGCTGCTCTGGTCCCCAGCCTCCCCAGCATCCTCCATCCTCCTATGCTCCAGTCCCCACACTGCCCCCGGTGTCCTCATGCCCAGGCAGGGCCACAGCAGCCCCGTGCCCCCCTACCTCGGTAGTAGACGTCCCTGAAGGGCGAGTTGATGAACTCCCGCATGTTGCCCGTCTTCTCGGCGATGTCGAGGAGCAGCGGGATGGTGTCGTTCCTGCCGCCGCTCAGGTTGAGCAGCGCCTTGGGCAGGCAGGTCTTCCCCGTGGAGGGCTCTGCGAGCAGAGGGTGCTGAGAGCCCAGCACATGGGGGTGCCCAGACCCGCACCCCTGGCCACATCCCAGGGGATCACCACCCACCACGGGGGGCCCAGGTCCTCACCTCGAAACTCCTCATCCGTGAGGCGCTTCTTGTGTGTGAGGAGGAAGGAGAGGAGCCCGTCCAGGCCCGCCGGGGACCCCCGGGACACGATGTCGAAGAGGATGGGTCTGTTGAACACCTTGAGGACGGGGGGCGGGTTGGGAGCCGGCCCCTTCACAGCCGGAGCTTGCTTCCTGTGGGAGAAACGCCAGTGCTGGGAATCGGAGCCACTGCCTCAGTTTCCTGCTTCTGCAAAGAGCCTGAGGATGCTCGGAGGTGGGGAAGGGTGCGGGCACCACGGGGTGACCTCCCCACCCACTGCAGCCCGGTGCTCCCAGCATCACCCATGGGGACCGGTGGGGACTTTGCCAGCTCCCGCCTGGAGCTGCATTTTGGGCCCCAACCGTGACCAGACACGGGTTTGGCCGCGCTCCAGTGCCACGTGCAAAGCCGGACCGGTTGGAGCAGTTGGCAGCAGCGGGACAGGCTGGGGGTAACCGGCGATCACCGGGAACGGGGGCAGGACGGAGGGTGGCCGTGCCAGCGGGGACCTCGGGCATCCCGGCCCCCTCCATCCACCTCCACCCCTGCCCAGCGCGGGGCAGGGGCAGCCGCTGCCCCATCCCGGCTGCCCCCGCCCCAGGTGCCCGGCACAGAGGGGTCATTGTGCGCCCGGCCGCGGGCGGTCCCCCCCGGCTCCGGTTTCCTGGCGTGGGGAGGGCGGAGGCTCTCCTGAAAAGCCCTTTCATGCCCGGAGCCAGACGCCCGCTCCGGTCGGCAGCGGCGGCGCGCACAGAGCCTCTTTCACGGGGCCGGCGAGGGGGAAGCGGAGCCAACGCTGCCGGCACCGCAGCACCGGGACCGGGACCGGCCGGGAGCTGCTCCCTGCCCACAGCACCCCTCAAAGAGCCATGGAGGGACCTGTTCCTATCCACAGCCGATGGGCATCCCCATACCCCCCGTGTATCGTACCCCCTACGCTGCCTCCCCGGCCCCGTCCCAGCCCGTCGGCACCGGGGAGCAGTAGCATCCCCGTACTCACTCCACGACCCTCCTGCGCCAGCGCTTGTTCTCGCTGGGGTGGTGGCGGTAGGTGCCGTAGTCGAACAGGGAGTCCATGGGGGCTTTCTTGGGCGCGGGGACCACGGAGGACTCGTAGATGGTGGCCTCCAGCAGCTCCATGGGTTTCGGGGCGCCCTTACGGAAGGCCCCGTGGAATTTCATGCGGAGGTTTTGCTTCCCATCCCCGGCGCCCGGGGGACCCCGCGCTGCCTCCGGGGGGGACTGGGCGTCCTCGCTCTCGAACAGGTTGGCCAGGGAGGAGAGTGGGAAGGAATCGTTCTGGAGGGACCCATCATCTCCTGCGCCGTCCCCAGCATCACCAGCGGTGCGCAGAGGGTCCTCGGTGTCTGCCATGCTGCAGGGATGGATGTGACCCGCACGAGAGCAGGAGACCTGGCAGAGGAAAACACCGCATCACCCCCAAATCCTCTGTACCGCCCACCCGCTCCCTGCGCTGCCCAGCCCCATAGCGGGAACGGGTCCCACACCCACCCTGCGGCAGTCGGGGTGTCCCGGCTGCTCCCCTCGGCACCCCCCGGCAGTAGGGACCCCTCGCCGGCCGCGGTGCTGCCGGCTTCAAAGCGCAGCCGGAATGGACAAGGGCGAGCCCGGCCTCGCTGCCTCTCCCCGCTGCGGTCGGCTTGGGTGCAGCCCAGGACAGGGCACAGAGCAGACCCTGTGCGCTCCCGTGTGCCGCCAGGGAAAGAAAACATTCCTGGGATACACCCCGCGCCTTGGGAAGCGCCCAAAGGCAGCGGGAAGCTGCCACCGCAGCAGGGATGGGGCTGGTCCGTGAGCGCTGGGCGCGGGGAGGGGGACAGACACGGCACGGGGGGGGTCAGAGCCCGCTGGAGCGCAGGAACAGCGGTTAGGGCAAGAAATGACGGGTTTGGGTTGCCCAGAGAGGAGCGGGGCTGCAGCAGAGGCACGGTCCCAGCGCGGACAGCACCGGGGCACGCACGGCCCTGCTCTGCCCTGTCACAGGCAGGACGGGCACACGAGTGAGCCAGGCTCTCCCCCAGCCCCGTGTTCCACCCACACAACAGCAGCGCTAAGGCTGAGCCCAGCTCCAGCCCCTGGGGAGCCGAGCCCTCCCCGTGGGTCCCGGGACAGAAAAAGCAGCCTGGAAACGTGTCATTTTCTGCCCGAGGAGCCACAAGGGCAGGCAGGGCCCCGCCGGGCGGGCGCGGATCTCTGCTGCGGAACGGGCCTCTAATCAGGCAGCGGGTCCCGTAGCTGCCGTGGACACGGGGATGAGGGCTGCAAACAGCCCGGGATCCCTGCGGGAATGGGGGGACGGCGGTTCCCTCCTCCCTGCCACCATGGCGGCACCCAAAGGGGACGGTGCAGCCCCAGGAGACACAGGACAAGCCGCAGATCGGACGTGGTTTCTCCTCTCTGCCGACTTTCCTCCCATCACCATCTCCGCAAGACATTCCACAAGCACCTGCCAAAGCCCACAGGTCCCACAGCCCGACCCCGAGCACACACTGCCCCTTGCACGGCCAGTGTGTCCTTGGACAACAGAGAAGAGGGAATTGCCAAGCCAACCCTCAAGGCTGTGCATGGGCATGGAGTGCCTGACCCTTCCAGCCTTGGCAGGCCCAGCATGGCTTTAGGGAAAAGCCCAAACTGACACAGATCCAGAGCCCAGGGAGTCACCGGCACAGGACACTGCTCCCTATTGGAAGCAGATAAGGACATCAGTGGGAGGAGCAGTGGGGATGCTGATGGGTACATGGGGCAGAAGCAGGGGGACAAGCCAAGGGGCTGGTGGGGCCGGGAGCCGTCACTGCCACCGGTGACCGGGGCAGGAAGCCTGCGTCGGAAACGGGCTCTTGGGGAAGTGTCGTCACCCGGGCGCTCCCGGGACCCCGCTGCCAGGAAAGGTGCCGTCAATGGGGTTTCGTTTGGCTCGGTCGTTATTTGGGTTTGCAGCTTTCAGACTCCCTCACCCCATGGAACAAATGAGTCAAGGCGCAGCTCACCCTGCGCCCTGAATCCAACACAAACCCGCCCCCCCCCCATGCCCCACGTGCGCTCCCACCTCTCCCCAAGTCACCTCCCAGTATCCCCAGTTAGTCCCCTGCTCCAGCCCACCATGGGGGCAGCGACACTGGGATGTGCAGGGGTCTGCCCAGGCCGGGCGCAGGGAGGATGCCCCTGTGCTGGGTCAGACTTCGCCACATGGAAGCTCCTCAAAGTAAAGCACGGAAACCGCACCGTGCGGACACCCGGTGCCGCCGGGAACGCTCATACAGAGGGAAACAACCACATCCCAAAGGGAACGGCACCGCGGGGCCGTGCCCACCTGGGCCAGAGCCCGCCGTGGTCCAGCCCGTGCGTGTCGGAGCTGCGGGGAACCCCCGCGGGACCCCCAGTTCATCAGGACCCCGCGGGGCCGGGGGAGCCCATGGGGCTGCATCCCACCTTGCTCACCTCAGCCCGCAGCTCCCTCCTCGCCCTGGGGCTCCATCCTGCCCCGTATCGTGTCCTGCCCCGGGACTCCATCAGTATGCGGTCCCTGTGCTGTCCCGGGGCTCCATCCTGCCCCGTACCGTGTCCTGCCCCGGGACTCCATCAGTATGCGGTCCCTGCGCTGTCCCGGGGCTCCATCCTGCCCCGGTCCCGTGCCCTGACCTCGTCCCTTGCCCTGCCCCGGTCCCCGCGCCCCGTCCGCCCCCCTCGCTGGTGCCGCCCGTACCGGTTACCGCGGGTCCCCGCGCCTCGCCCCGCTCCGCTCCGCTCCCGGCCCGTACCGCGCAGGGTCCCGCAGGCTCCGGCGCCGCTCAGTCGCCGCGGGGCCAGTCCCGGAGAGCGGCTCCTCCCCGGCCCCTGCTCCCGCCCGCGAGAGCGGATCCGCCTCCGCCCACCCCTGGGCACCGGCCCGGAGCAGCCCCGGGACAGCCTCATTCCACCCCCCCCCAGGAACAACCCCACATGGAGCAGCCCCAAAAGGTCTCCCATAAACAGCCCCCCCCCAGGCAGAGCCCCCTAAAACACCCTCCTCAAAGAGCACCCCCAAACATCCACCCAGGCTGAGGTTACCGTCAGTGTTTATTAACAATCACATCCCGTCGGCAGCACCGTGAGGCCGTCGGTGGATAAGGCAATGCGTGCTCCCACACACCCCGTGTGGGGCTGGAATCCTGGCTTCAGCCACCGGCAGAGGGGCCTCGCTCCGTGCAGGCGCCGGAGGAGTCGGGATTCCCTGGGACAGTCATCGGCTCCTGCTCCATGGGCATCATTCGGGAAGCTTCTCACATGGGTGCCGGAGCAGTTGTTGTAGTCCAGTGGTATTGGTAGCAGTCCAAGAGGATCAGGGCAGAGCCAAGGCAGCTCCATTGGGATGCAGCCACCAGCCACGCTTCATTCCCTGCACCATAATAGGTGTGAACCCAGAGGATGGGATTAGAAACACTTGGTCTTCCCTCTTTAGTAGAAAAACTTGGGGAATCCTGTGATTGCCATATCCTGACTAGAAAACTCATTATTCTGTTTAGAAAACAGGTTATCCACTGCAGATCCAGACAGGAATCAAAGTTGCCTGCCAGCCAGGAGCCGCCCCAGTGAGTAAACCACAAGTAGCACCCGTCACACCTCACTACAGCCCTGCCAGGCCCCTGCGAGCCTCAGGCTTTGTAGCTCAGCTCCGCGTTCATCTTCGTGTACATCTCATAGATTGCATCCAGGATGGGGGTGACCCTCGAGAGGAACTGATGGATCTTCTCGATGCTTTCCTCCTCTTTGACTTCTTTACCCTTCTCCAGGGCCTTCAGTAGATCTGATTTGTATGGGAGAGCATAGACTGAGCCCTATAAAAGAGAGGAAGAAGCTGTAAGGCTCACAAAACCCCAAAGCTAACCCTATCCCACATGCAGAGCCCCAGCCTGGGTTATACCCATGCACTTCCGAGCATCCGGAGACCCCAAGTGGATGCACATGGGAACAACCTTAGGGATGGTAGCTGATCCCTTGGAGAAACAGGGATGCACAGAGAGGGTCCTAGCTCAAATAGATCAACAGCTTCCCATGTTTCCAAGCCCTTACTCCCTAAAGCACATCCCTTCTCGAGGCAGATGGGCTTTAGGAAAGGCTGTTTCTTCCATGGAGATATGAACACTCACCGTGAAGAGCTTCTGCAGCATCCAGCCATGGTATTTCTTTAGTGCGATCTCATAAGCCTTCAAAGCATTCACTCGGATGAGGTTCGGGTGCTCCTCATCCTGCTCACCATCAGAGATGCTCTGCAGCAGCACCAGCATGAACTTCAGGCCCCTGGGAGAAGAGCGGAGACGTCGTGATGGGGAAGAGGATGCTGCCTCGCGGCCTCCAGCAAGGCACCCCCTGAGCCTGGCACATCCAGGTCCCCCCAGAGCCCCACGGCACACAGAGCTGGTGCTTGGTGTGGTCCCCACAATGCCCCAGCCCAAAGGGAACAGCCAGACCCATGCTCTCCGCAGTAGATGTCCCCACGTGCCGGAGCAGCTCCCAGCGCCCTGAGTCACCTTTTCAACCACATCAGTGCCAGCGTCGCGCCCGTCTTGGGCCAGGCTGCACCGTGCATCTCCTTCTCCACCTCCAGGATGTTCTGCAGGGTTTTGAACTTGGTGGGGTTGGAGTCATAAACTGCACGGATTTTCTGCGGGCAGAGGAGGGGATGGGTCCTGGGAGATGCCCGGCTGGAGCTTGCACCAGGGACCCCGTTAATAAACACACCGATGACCCCCAAACGGGAAGAAAAACCCCTTCTAAACACCTCCAGGTCGTGCCTCTCTGATCCCACCACGTCTCTGCTCCACGTTCACCTCTCCTGACCCTCCCTGTGCCCGTTCCTACCTTGATATTTCCAGCTAGGTCGGCTTTGACGGGCGAGTACACGATGGGAGTGCCCAGGCAATCTGCAGAAGCAGGGAGGGAGGACGGTCAGGCACGAGGGGACACAGGAGACAACACAAAGTCGGGTCATAAGCAACAGGCTTCACCTTAACCACAGAAACACACCGAGACAAGCACCGGCGAGGCTGGGAGCGGCTCTCCAGCCTTGGCTCAAGGACACGGTGAGCAAGAGCTTGGCCTTGCCCGTGCTGGCAACCCGCTGACCCGGGATGCAGCCCCGGTACTGCGGTCTGGGGCAGCACAACGGGCAGCGCCCTGCGTCCAGCGAGGCCGGCCAGGAGCCGGCACACAATACCGGCTTTGTGGAGGGCAGCGAGCCAGCGTGGCATGAGGGTGCCCATGCCAACGCGCTCCCACGGCCCCGGCAGGGGGTGAGGACCGCGGCTGGGACCCACGGGCCGGCCCGGAGCGACGCCTCCGGCCCGGGTGTACCGAGGGAAGGACGCTGGGCCCGGCCCTGCCAGTGCGTGGGCCCCGGGCACCGCGGGACGTTTCCCAACGGGGCTGCTCGGCGGGTTTGACGGGCCCGTAATGCAACCGCGGCCTCGTGGAGCCGGGATCGGCGGCCACCGGGACCCAGGACCGGGGGTGGGAACGACCCAGAACGGGGGGGGACCGAGCAGCAGGGACGGGGAACACCTGGTCCGGCCGGGCCCAAGGGGGCGCTGCCCGCAGTAGGCCTCAGCTGGGCGCGGCGGCGGGGCCGGCCCGGTGCCGGTGGCTGCCGCAGCTCCCACCCCCTCGGACGGCAGGCCGGGGCTCACCGAAGAAGGGCGGAAGGTGCGCCACGGCCTCCAGGAAGGGCAGCGTCTCGATCTGCTTGTCCGCGGGCAGCGGCTTGAACTCGTGCTCCAGCAGCAGCGCCATGGTCCCGCTCCGCACCGGGACCGCACCGGCACCGGCGTCCGACCCGGCAGCGCGCCGCCACGGCGCCACGCCCCCAACGCCCCAGCCAATGGCAGCTCACCACCCACCGGCCCGCCCGCCAATCGGAGCACGGGGGCGGGCTTTGAGGGGCACAAAGCTCCGCCCCCTCGGTGCCCACTCACCCACGGGCAGGGTGGTCCCCGGTGCCGGTGTCCGGGCCCGTGGGCACCGGGGCGATCCCCGGTTCATCCCCCCCCGGCCTGGTCAGGGCTGCACAGGAGCCTCCAGCGGGGGAAATCACAGAACCCCAGCCTGGTTTGTATTGGAGGGACCTTAGAGCTCACCCAGCCCCAACCCCTGCCACGGGCAGGGACCCCTTCCACTGGAGCAGCTTGCTCCAAGCCCCTGTGTCCAACCTGGCCTTGAGCACTGCCAGGGATGGGGCAGCCACAGCTTCTCTGGGCACCCTGTGCCAGCGCCTCAGCACCCTCACAGGGAAGAGCCTCTGCCTCAGAGCTCATCTCAGTCTCCCCTGGGGCAGGTTAAAGCCATTCCCCTTGGCCCGAATGAAAAGTCCCTCTCGGGCGCCCTGGGCTCGTTCCGGTCGCTGTTAATTATTCAGTGGAGATCAATTGCTCGGAGGAGCAGGAGGCTCAGGCAGGGGGGCAGAGAACAAAGCGCGACCCGGGGCCGCGGCGATTGATTAATATTAAACACTGCTGAGAGCTGCGGGTGTTAAACGACACCGGGCTCCGCGCAGGCAGCGGGAGGGGACGGGGTGGGATTGACCGGCGTCCTGGCTCCAATCGCGGTGTTTTCACCGGACATTCTGGTTAAACCGGTCGTGCAGCGATACGGATCTCCGGCAGCAGCCGCAGAGACCAGCCCGGGCGGGGCTCGGCGCCGCAGGAACTTTGAGCTCGGAGCGTTTACAGCGCCATAAACCGGAGCTGCTCGACCGGAGCCCGGCCCTCACCGCGAAGCGCTCCGCGGCCTGTCCCTCGTCGGCGCCCGTAGCGGCCGTTGTTGGTTGGCGATGGCGCTGTGGGGCCGGGTGTCGGCGGTGGAGCGCTGGGCGGCCGGGCGGGAGCGGGAGGCTCGGAGCCGGCAGCAGTGGGAGCGCACCAGCCGCTCCTTCGCGCAGGCCGCCGTGTGCTGCTCGCTGCAGGCCCGGTGGAGCGAGCCCCGCGGGCCCCCGCGCAGGTACGGGCCGGGCGCCGGGGGTAGGCCGGGCCGGGCCGCGGGCGGTGCCGGCGGTGGCAGCGCGGCGGCGGAGCTGCGGGACGCGGAGGAGGCGGCGGCGGCGAGGCTGGAGCAGCGGCGGGAGCGGCTGAGGCGGCTGCTGGGAGAGGAGCGGGAGGCGCTGGCGGCGGAGCTGCGGCGGGACCGCGGGGCGGAGCGCGCCGGGGTCCGGCAGCGGAGCGAGGAGCGGCGGAGGGAGGTGAGCGGGGCTCGCTGCTCGGTGGGACTGGCTGGGGGCTGCGGTGCCCTCCGTTAGCGGCTGCTTCGGGAGGGTCTGGAACCCTCCGGTGCCCTCACACGATCCAACTCTCCTGTTCGCAGGTCGCTGAGCAGCTGCTGGAGCACTGGAAGAAGAATAACGCGGAGCTCCGGGAGGTGACACTGGTTTCCTTTTAGTCCCCACTGCCTTGGAATTATTTAATCAGTTTTTAACTTGGCCGTCATCGTACGGCCCCAAGGGCTGGGCAGATCGTGGTGGTGATCCCAGCAGAGCCTCTGGCACTAATGGTGATGCCGCATCTGCTGTCTTCCCAGGTGGAGTCAGACCTGCACAAGAAACATGTGGTAGAGGCTTGGGGAGATCAGGTGCAGCAGAAATCCAAGGTAGGCAGGGGGAGAGCCCTGGTGTTACTGGTCACAAGGGTGGGCTCCCAAAATGGTGAGCATGTGGAGGTGTGGCACCAGGTGCCTTCTGACCCCACTGGCACACAGCTTGCCTTCCTGTACTGACACGGCTTGCATGTGGAAGGGATGGGACTTGGCTGCTTGCTCGTTTTCTCACACCCGTGTTGAACCAAATCGTGACTGAGGTCACCACACTTGTCCCCTTAGTGCTGGGGAGTTGCTGTGCTGCAGAACAAGAGCTGCTGTCAGGACAGATGCTTTTAATGAAGAGCCATCATTCTGATGTACTCATCGTCATGAGTACACACCATCCATCCCCCTAGGAAATTCAGTGCTACCTGCTGAGTGCTCTGATGCAGGATTCAGTGTGGCGCTCCTTTCATCAACAGTGAGCCAGAGCAAAGCTGCAAGAGCACAGTAGTTGAATGCGCACACACTAGATCTGGGAATACAGTGATTTTGATGTGAAAGAATCATAAAGGTCTTCAAATGCAGATTTCAGAGTTAACTACAACAATAATCTAGGTTGTAAAAGGAAAAACTGAGTGTATTTGTGAGACCACCTGTGCTTGGCATCAGGCCCGTGCAAGGCCTTGCAAAGGATGTGTACAGGCTGACAAGCCTTTTCGCCAGCAGACAGTTCTGCTTTGTCTCTGTGCTTATTCCTACCGTATTTTGTTCCATATTTTCCCAGTACAAGTCACTTGCAGGATTTGCTTTGTGGATTTCCTGAGCCAGAGGCCGTTTCTTTACTTTAGCCTAATGCCATGTTTTCTTTTGGCTTGGAAAGAGAGAAGCAACTGAGCTTGAAGAGAAAAAGCATTACGAAAATGAGTATGGAACTGCACGAAGGGAAGCGCTGGAAAGAATGAGACAGGAGGAAGAGAAGCGGCGGCAGAAGGAGAAGAAGCAAGCAGAGATGTTGCTGCAACAAATAGAAGAACTGAAGTTACAGGAGAGGGAGGTAAGCCTTAATTCCTCCTCAGGTGAGCCACTGAGCCCTACATGAAATTGATGTGAAATAGTTCCTGCAGTGAGGATTTTGACTGCTGCAGGGGAGCAGGATGGGGTACCAACTCGGTATGAACACTCTCTCTGGGCCGTCCTAGCTCTCCGATACACTCTTTCTTGGTTGTTTTTTAATCCTTTTAGGCAACAAAGCTGAAAAAGGAACAAGAGAATTTATTAAAGCAGCAGTGGGAGCTGGAGAGCTTGGAAGAAGGAAGGAAACAAATGGAAGAGCACAGGAAGAAGAGAGAGCTCGGGTAAGAAGAAAGGACAAATGCATTGGTGCCATTACTGCTTTTTGTTCATGTTAGCATTAGCAGGTATCTCTGTTGGCTGTAAGTTACGTTATCACAGAAGCACCTTCCTGAGTGCTGGCATATAAAACATCAGGCTTTACAGTCAGATTGAATGTTCTTTGTTTTCCTCTTTCAGTCGCTTTTTGAGGCACCAGTGCAATGCCCAGTTACAGAGACGAGCTCAGCAGATACAAGAGGAGCTGGTAAGAGAAAGGATCCCTTGATTTTTGCTTTATAGATACCGTATGCTGAAAAACTCATTCTTTGTGTTCATATGTTTGCCTCTGATGCTCACAGGTAATTAGTTAGGAAGCTCCTTCCAGCTCGTGAGCAGGAACTGGAGCAAAAAGGTCAGAGGGAAGCCAGCAGACTGAGTGTCAATACCAGTAATGGTGGAGAGTAGCCCTGCACCCAGGCTGGAAGCCTGCTGGATAGCTGTTAATCCTGTGGTTTTTCCTCAAGGAGATAGACAGGCAAATCCTATCAGCCCTCCTCGAGAAAGAAGATGAGGAGCAGCGCCGCCAGTCAGTGCGACGGGAACGGGCTGTGGCAGATGCTGCCTGGATGAAACGTGTCATTGAGGAGCAGCTCCAGTTAGAAAAGGAGAGGGAAGCAGAGCTGCAGACTATTTTCAGGTGAGTCTGCCCACCTCTGAATGCCATCTGAAGAGACAGATCCTGTGCTGAGTGGTGTAACCAGTGCGGAGAGCATCTCCTCTGCTGACAGGACAGCGTGCGCTGCCATCAAGTTTCAGTCGAAGGTTTTCTTGTGGAAGGAAGACTTGTAAGAGCTTCAGCTGTAACTGCCCAGCTTTGACAGCAATGCCCTTAACTACCTGTCCCCCATGTGAAATAACATCCCTGTTAAGAGGCAGCCTCCCTCCCGAAGCCCTTCTGTGCCCAGGAATTCCTGCTGCAGGCCAGCATTTGCTGTACCTCTAAAGCACAGGGTAGCTTGTCTATGCCCATAGAGTATATAGGGGTTTTCTTAACTGTAAGTAAGAACCTCAGAGAGAATTCTTCCTCTCTTTTAGAGAAGAAGCTAGAAAGATGTGGGAGAAGAGGGAAGAAGAATGGCAAAGAGAGAAGGCAGCCAGAGATCACCTGATGAATGAGGTGAGGATCTTTTTGGATGAGGTCTCTCCGGGTTCCAGCTATAACCCTCCACCCTCCAGCAGGCCTCGGCCATCACTATCCAGAGCAGAGTTTTTCTGCTTGTCTGACTCACTGTCTCAGAACTATCTAACCATCTGCCCTGAGATTGCCCCAGTTCTGCTTCTAAAGCTGTCTTTTTCTTGACTGACCTCTCTTAATCCTCATTTCACAAAGGTCCTCGCAGGCAGACAGCGCCAGATCCAGGAGAAGATGGAGTTAAACAGACGAGCCCAAGAAGAGTCCATAAGGTATCGAGAGCAGCTGATTAAAGAACTTGAAGAGGCCAAAGAGCTGACTCGTCGAGAGAAGGAGCAGGAGGAGGAACTGAAGACAGCACGGAGGCAGGAGCTGGAGGCACAGGTACCGGGTGCACCCCAGAAACACTCCCAGTTGCTGAAGGTGCCCAGTCTGTGTCTGGTCTCACTGTAACCACCCTGTTTTCTCTGTGCCCAGCTGACAGAACGGCGCTTGCAAGAGCAGGAGGAGCAGCAGAACCAGAGAGAGGAGGAAGAGGAGGAGAGATCAGCCCAGCAGCATTGCCAGGAGCTGGTGCAGCAGGAGGCCAAGCGCATGGCGGAGCAGGGCTATCGCCCCAGGGTAGGTAGCAGAGCTGTGGGGCAGCCCTGACACACGGGTGATAGCCTCAGACAGATACAATCCTCACTGCCCCTTAGTTATCACATGGCACCAGGGCAGAACACTGGGCCTGTTCCTTGGTACTATTTCTAACACCAGTCTCCCTCCTTTGCATGTGTGCAGAATGTGAATTCTAGAGTCCATCAAGTAGTTACTGTCTTTGTTTTGACCCCATTAGGTCTACAGTTACCCCAAAACAGCGTGGACCTGAGGATTCTTGTCCTTTGCACCTGAGGAACAGGCACCAAATGTGACTGCAAACTACAGAAAGAAAACTTGGAAGAATCAAGGAACTTCCGAAACTGGGGGGGGGGGGGGGGCTTTGGAATAGCCTACAGTGACACCGAGACTCAACTCGGGGGATTTCTGAAACTATTTAGCTGTGGCCTTGCTAAAGAGCCAATTTGTACTGGCTTTGAGAGGTGGAGGTGTGAGCATCCTCAGAGGACTGAACTGCTTCAGGAGCTGTGACCATGTAGCAGGTGCTACACTGGGGCAAAACAGCAAATAAAGAAGCCCTCTGGATCTGAAGAGTGAAAGGATCCAGCCTTCCCATAGGATGGGCACTGCAAATCACTGTGTTTGGAGTCAGCTCATAATGTGTGCTGCAGATCAGCAAGATAACCAGTGCTGCAGCTGTAATCCTTAACATGTTCCTCTCCAGATGGCACCAGTGACTCCATTAAGTGTTGGTTTTCACTTGTTTCACAAAGAATGAATGACTTCAACCTGAATAAACTGCTTGTTTCCTTACATGAGCCAACTCCTGCAACAGTAAGAGAGGGTTTAGTTGATCACTGCACTCGATTCCTTCCTTTCATCATTGGTGACTGTGCTTGAAATTGGTCCTTCAGCTGGTGTGGTATGTTCAGGTCCTGTCCAGTGCATGAGGAGCTGTAGAGGGGCCCTGCCACAGACAGGCATCATCACAGCCCTGCAGGTGTGACTCTGCTGGAGACACCTTTTCCAAGATCTTCTCGTTACAGAACCATCAGTCAAATAACCCCAAATAAACACTGAAAGAGTTTTAACATTTTATAGTAATACTGTAAACAAAAGATTAAGTCAAAATATTGTACAGACAAATGACACTGATAAATACAAGGTTTGGAAAAAAGGCAAATAAATTTTTTACTTTCCTATGCAGCATTTTGTAAAGGAAGAGCAGAGTTTGGTTAGAGGGGAAAAAGGGGAGATCTAGTCATAAATGACACAACCACCTTTGTTGTTTGAGGTGTTATGAATCCAAGGCCTAGTGCTGTGTGACCATAACCCACCCGGCACAAAGGTTTGTTCAGAGGCAGGGAAGTGGCCAGAAATGGTGTTTAGGTGACAGAACAGGAAATCAGTTATGGGTTGACCATGATTTTATAGCTAAAGGTAGAGCCAAATGCTTGGGTATAAGAAACCTGGAGCTGGCATAGCAAGAACAAGGGCTTGCAGCTCTCAAGGGTGTCCGTTTGGTTTGGTGTAGAAGCAAACAGCTGATAGATTACAACACAACTCCGTGTTTCCCTGGCCTGGAAATCAGGCAAGGTATCTTAAAAGCACACAGCAGTGGCCTGAGAGGCTTCAAGAACCACCTCCTGCCTGGCAATGGTGCCAAGTTAAGGAAAAGCTCCTACAAGATGATCACTGTATTTAACTGTCAGTAGCATAATTCTGAAGCAGGTTTTACGAATACCTTTTGTGGCTCTACTCCCATTTCCAGGAGGTCAGAGACACACAGAAAGGAAGTAAAAAACCCCACATTTAAGAAGATGAATTTACTGGGTTGTGATTGACTCTCCATTCCTTCCCTCCACCTTGCACTGCTTTAAGAAGGGAGCTAACTGCAACAGGAATTCAACAGTGTTGTGGCACTGAGTGTTCACATAAAATACAAACACTCGACTTGAGAAGGAACCAACCTCTCAACTTGTTTCCCACCAGAAGGCCTGTAGGGATTCATGGTTTGGGTAGACCCTGTGCTGCAGCCTGGCTATGGAACAGCATTTCTGACCCGAAGGGGTCTGTGAAAGCTCTGAACATTCATAGCTCCCCAACCCTGCCGCCACCTCAGCTCCTTGGCAGTGACAACTGGGACAGTTCCAAATGGGACACAGCAGAGGGAAAAATCACTGATTTATGCCCCCATCCATGGAATTTAGACTCCCCAAAACCCTCTTAATTGTTGAAATTATGGACTGACAGATTTTGGAAGCTTTGTGAACTGTGATGAATGAAAACCCCAAAACACACAATGACATTTGTGACCCCACTGCCTTTCCAACACGCAGCCCAGCCTGGTCACTCCATACATAGCTCCTAAAATGTTAAAAGATTTGCATAAAACTTACTGGATAGAAGAGCTCTTTTCACATTTGGCTATGCTGAGGTACAGCAGTTCTGTGCTATGGCAGATAGAGCTGCTTTGCACTGGCACTCTTCTAACTTCCTTCCTTTTTCAGTGAGTACAGAGATCTTTAGTGAAAATGCATCTTGAGTCACTGAGAGATGCTGCTGCCAACCAGAGGGTGCTTGAAGCTGACAATAAAACTCTGTGGGAAACTGAAGAATCAATTATTAAATCAGAAACAAAGGATAATATTTTAACCACTAATGCCCTAAAGTAACATCAAACATATATATTAATGGCATAGTGACAACTAAAAGAAAGAACTACTAAGTTTCAAATTCCTTCCAAAAAACAGATAAAGTGACAAAGACCTCGTATAGTTACATGTCATAAGCTTGGATGCCCACAACTACTCCTTGTTGTAGCAGACTAAGGACGTATTATTGCACAACAGTTGATATGGGAACAGATACTACTTGGCTCATACTCCTCCATCGGGACGGCAGCCGGTTACAGTCCTGGAGCCTTCAGAGCCTCTTTTGCTGCAGGGTTCTCAGCACCATCAGGACATGTGCAGCTCCAGGACAGAGAGCTCCAGGGGCAGGATGTGGCCCACTGGTGGACGTGGTGACTCCAGTGGGAGTTTTGCAAAGTGCTATCTGAATGCAGAACGTGGCCCCCAAGGAAACATCTAGCAAGAGCTTGAGACAACGCTGGTACGCTGTATTGGCTCGACAGCTATTTGCAACATGCTATTACCTGTAACTAAACTGGCAACACAGGCACAAAATAAGGCAGTGGGTTAAATTAATCATAAAATCGTTAGAAAACATGCAAAAATAATACTGAGGGTTTCTTAAAATAAAAAGTTTCTTGCCCCTTTAGTTCTTCCTCATAAAAATCCAAGCAGTTCCACACCTATGTCTGCAATCCAACCTCTACAAAACAGGACTAAAAAGCCAAGTGTGACTCAGTTGTTGTTCTCTTTGGTTGTGATGGTGACCAGCTGCTTGGCTGCCTTGGCAATGTCGTAGGCGCACTGGATGACCTGCTGCGTGACCAGCTGGATGTCGGTGCCGGGGCACGTCTCCACGGGAAGCGTCTTTTTGCACTCGGACTGGAGTCTGTAGGCACTAGATGTCAGCAGGCGCAAGGAAGTCCTGACCAGCTCAGATTTGGGTTTCTGGGAAAGCAAAGTAGAAGCTGAACTCAACAGAACACCAAAATCCTTTCAGGATTGCTTTAATTAGCTGGTAGTGCCTCACAAGTGATCTGTAACGTGGGACTTGTGCTGCCTCCCACACAGGCTCCTCTGCGCTGTAGGAGATGCTACAAGCCGTTGCTGTAGCACAGACATGGAATAGGGGTGGATGAAGCAAGCTCCTGGAATTTCTCCTCTCATCTCAGGGGTATTTCAAACTGCTGCCCAGCAGCACACAGGGAATACTGCTTCATGCTCTCATTTAGGAAGTTACTCACTCTAGTGCCTGTTTACAGCTACCCAGCCCACTTCCTGGCTGACGCTGGGGCACAGCAGTGTTAGATTTTCCCTACAGCTTTTAGGGGCAGGTAAGACTTTACAAAACTTAAGTCATGGAGATTTCACTCCCTCAATTTGCTGTGAGCCACAGAATCAATGCTGGATGGTACTTACTTTTGGGAACAAGGCTGCCATTTCTGTTACTGCCACATGTATCCTCTCGGAGCACGGTATATAACTGCAAAAAGATGGATTGTGTTACTCATCGTGTAAAGATTCCCCTTTCCTCCTCAATCCCACTGCTCAGTGGCTATTATTCCAAAAACTGAGTAACAAAACATATTAATATATATTCTATATAATATATATTCTACAAGTATCTCTGCAGGCTGCAGTGAGGGCGATGGAAGCAGCTAGTGCAGCACACAGCACGGTGACTCTTGGTGTGTCCTCAGCACTGCCCTGCACACTTCAGCACACACTTGTGTAGAGCACATCTTCAGAGAAAAGCAAGAACTTAACCAGTGGTATGGAACTGTGTCTGAAGTTTTCATTATTCTTTGATCAAAGTTTGCTTAAAGGCATGACTGTTCACAGCCATTATACCAAACGTGCTCAGAAAAGGTCTCAATTTGTTTGCAGCTATGGGATTGGGCCCATGAATATTAACTACCCATTAAAGCAAACAGTTTCCAAACCTCCCCCATGCCAACTATCCACATCATCCAGAAAACTGCTCAGCTCCTTCTGTTCAGCACATGCACAGGGATGTTCTAGTGTGAGGTGTGGGAGTGTGGCCAAGCAAACCCATCCACGCCAGCCAGGCACAAAGTGAAGTAAGATTCTGCAGCTTGAAAACATTTACACAAAATCTGGTGATACAGAGGTTTGGGAGAAAAAAGCAACTTGTTTTCCTCAGTGCAGATGATCAAAAGGAGAATAAAAACCCCAAACCACTCTGTATGTGGGATCTGAGTGAGTTTAACTTGCTGCCACCTGAGGGAAATCCCTACCCATTTGTTCTGAAAGAGCTTTTCCTCCATAAGGCAAGAGACTGCAAAACCAAAGAACTGAAAGAAAAGCTTTTAAACTGTTAATGATGCAAGAGCTGAAATCATCCAGTAATCCTGGAAGAAAATCAAAGACCCCAAAGGTGTTACAATTGATTTTTGTTTCAGAGTTGAACTACGGCCATCCAAACTCTTGCACATAATTTGACAGCCAAAGGTTGGTGTGTACAGAACTGTCTTGGCTACCCCTCTGAAGCAACGGGGTTTTCCTGCTCTTCTTTTCCATCTGTAACTTAAAGAAGAAGCCTTAAAAAACCTACTTTATACTCAAAACCTATTCAAAAGCCATCAGTTCTGAGCCCCTCTGAGCCATCTTTGTTCAAAACAGATCTTAGATCTTCACCACAAAGCTGCTTTGAAGATCTGTGTTAGTGTGGCCTGTCAGAAACCTCATTTCAGAAGTCTCATTTTTATACTTCAAAGACTCAATTGTAGCAT